CTAGCCACAAATAAAACAGCTACATATGCTACAAACAGCTGTGCTTCGCATACACAATCGAGAAAACGATCAGAAAGCAGCTCTTTAACGTGAAATAGAAGAAGGAAAAAATCAGCATAAAAATTAAATATACCGCTGTGGCGTATTCGATCGGAAGACCAGAAGGTTTAAAGTCACCATGACAATTTACTTTTACTAGCCACAAATAAAACAGCTACATATGCTAAGAAATTGCGACTGATATAAAAAAAAGTGGCACCAGATAGAATTAGACGCAAATAAAAATTAAGACGGCTACACTAGCTTTGCATGCAGTGAATTAGTAAAGAAGAAGTCAAATTAAGAAAACATTATGCAGTTCAAATGTCCAAAACCCAAATTGAGTAGGAAAATGTCTGAAAATGATTTTTTTGTTTTTGAAATTCTTCTCAAATGAACCGAAAGAAATTTTTATAGTTTCTTTCGATTCATTTGATTGAACAAACATGCATCAATTATGTTAACTCATTATTATCGAATGTCAAAGCACTTGCTCCAAATATCGCAAAAATGCCCCGAAAATTGCTAGTTAGATCGAAAAAAATCATAGTCGCACTAATACACGCCTTTCGGAAAAGCTCGCTAAATATGCAAGACAATGCTTCACTTTCAATGCTTTTTCGCAAAAGTTCAAAAACTCTGTTAATCAAATTTTTATTTTAAACACGCTTGAGCTTTTGCCTTGATAATTAGTTTTTCTGGTATTTATTTCGCACCAACTTCCAAGAAGCTCGAAAGGTGACGAAATGCAAATTTTTATCTTTTTTTTCTTCATTTTTTTTCATTGGATTCTCTAATCCAAAACAAAACTCTAAATACGTGAAGCAATGCACCTTCTTTCATGGGATTCAAAACAAAATATTTCACGAAACCCTGAGATCATATCATTTTTCTGTCAAAACTTAGAAACTACCTTTAAAAGTTATTCTGTTGGATTTTTAAAGACTGGGAAGTTGACAACAGATACATATTCGATTCCACTGGATCGATTTGGCTGCATATTTGCTATAAAAAAAACTTTTTGGAACAACACTCATTTTTCTTCAAAAAATACTTCTCATACTTTCCGACCTAGAATGAATATGTTGCTATAAATTGTTAAGTAGGCTACAGATTCATGTTTAAAGTTTCAAAAAAAATTTTTTTTAAAGAAAGAGATATAATCAGTAGAGAATGATTCACAGGTACTTATTTGACATCAAAATAATCTTTTTGAAGCTAAGCCGTTGAAATAAGATTTTTTGAACCCAAAAAGGTTTGACTTCCTGCTTAGCTGGAAAAAAAAGCATTTTTCATTTTTTTCCAAAATTTGTTTACATGCAATTTCCATCTACATAAGACTAGCCATTAAAATTTGCTCAATTGAATTAGGTTGATAAATTTAATCAAAATGTTGCTGATTTTACTGTTTTTTGGCAACATGTTCACTCTGAATCATAAATTTACGAAGGTCGCTCGATAAGATTATGACCGATTTTGGATGCCCTTATTTGCATTAAATCGAAAACCTATCTGCCGCTACTTTCACAGTAACTGACTTTTTATGGGATCGTCGGTACTTTTTTGGGATCATATATCTACAGGTTTTTCCATTGACCGTACTTTTCTACTAGTACTGAGTTTTTTAAACGCCAGAAAAATCAAAAAAAAATAAATGTAGTGAGCCTAAAATTGCTCAACAAAAACTGCTCAATTTTAAACTTGACTAGCTACGTTCCGTCTTTCAATTAACTGAAGTTGCGAGAAAACAAAACAGATGCCCTGCGGAACCAAAAAAAAATTCATATTTAAACTTTTAAGTTGATCTGTTTTTACTGAACTGATACATTCAAGATAGTTACTTTTAAGAAAAACAAACTGCCTTCCTATTTTTAAGTATTTAATCGCTGATTTAGAAAAATAGCCGACTGACAGCTGAAAAAACTCAGTGAACGCCAGTTAAAAGACAAAAAATACTGACTTGTTTTTTGAAAATCTCAACTTCAAATTTAAAGCAAAAATAGATGAATTTAAAGCTCTTAGAATTTTTACAAAAAATTTAGATTGACATTTTTAGACACACGGGCGAAGCGGGGCTTCGATTCAATACTTGCGATACAAGACAAAAATAAAGAATCTGGATTTTGCCAAGATTCAGGGACAAAGCAAGTTGAAAAGTTGATTACTGGAAAGAAAATCTAGTTCCTGATTGATGACACTGGCTCTTGCAAAGAATAAATTGTTAAACCGAAAAAAAAGTTTGAAAAACAAACGATGGATCTTTTTTATCATTACCGCCCAAAAATCAAATTTCAACTACTAGAATTGAAACTATTTTGCTTCAACCTTATTTGCAATAGTTAGACAATCAATTTTCAGCACCAACTCAAACAATTTTAGTTGACCTATGATTAAACTGAAATAGCCAAAAAAAAATTAAATTGTTTGGTAAACTATTCCAATTTGTTTCAAATAAGCTGCCGAGTTTTACACAGAGGTAAAAAAAACCGAAAAATTAGCTCAAGGGAAAAAATGACCACCTTCATATCTCTGCTCAGTATGTTCTCAATATGAAATAAAAAATGATAACATAAGTAAAATCAAAATGATCAGTGTTTTATTCTATGCATTTATAAATTCGTTTGTCTGCTTAAGTTTGTTCGCTTAGATTCCACATTACCGATTTTTCTTGTGCTGTCAACAAGTGTTAGAAATTCAGGAGAATTTGATGTTCGCTTAAATTCCACATTTCCGATTTTTCTTGGGCTGTCAACAAATGTTATAGTTTCAGGAGAATTTGAAACTTAGAAAAAAATATGAAATCAGCTCAACTGCTGTCTGTGATTATCTGAACTCTAGGGGTAAGCTTCTCGTTGCAGGGATTTCGGAAAATGGAATTTTTTGAAACCAACTTTTCAGCGGCATTTTCTGGTTTTTTTAATAATTGATTGAGAGCGTAATTCGAGTTCCATTAAGAAAGTGATTTTGAAATATCTACTTCAACACAGAGGCTAAGCAGAGCTGTGCACCATTTGTGATTCAAAAATTTCAAATGTTGAAAAATCTAGGTGCACCAAAATTTTCGTTGTCTTAATAAAAAACTAAGGGCCCAGCTAACGCGGGAGGTACGCGCTTGATACTTAATGAATTTGCTAACAGATGCAGCACGAAAAAATAGTTTCAAAAACTGGACTCTGCCAAAAACTTTTGTTTCTCTAAAATAAGTGTGAAGAGAAAAAAAATTGTGAAGAGACAACATTTCTCGCATAAAAAATAGAAAGGCGCTGCTTCTGCAGGAACGATTATCGCAACCGGTGTTTTTGCAATTGAACCTTTCATTACAGATTTGATTGAATAAAATTCTACGAATACTAAAACAATTTCTAAGAAACGGTCGAAAGACTTTCCAGAATTCATAACTTTTTCTGCAAAAGCAGGTTGTGGCCGTTTAAGCAAAGACGATTCCCAACACCGGGTTTATCGATTGAACACAACCTGTGGATTGGAACGGTAGTTTTTACTGAGAATTGGCACGGTAGTTTTCACGAAAAGTCAAAAAGTTTCCACAAAACTATCAAGATTTCAAAACTTTGACTTTTTGACAGCCATAACTTGTTCTTAAACAAATTGGGCTTAGCCAATTATAAATGTAGGCTTTCAAAAACCTGTTGCTTGTCTTTTTTTGATTTGACTCATAATTAGGTCATTAAGCCTATAAAAAATTGGCTAAAATAATTTGGGTCGAGGAATTTTTTTGCAACTTAAAAAAAACAAAGGAAATACGAAGTCACGGTAAGTAAAATTACATTTTGTAGTAGTAAATCAGACACTCAAAGATAAGCAGACAAATAATTGGCAGACAACTTTATTTGGAACAAAATTTTTCCCGTTTGAAAAAAAAACAGCTCTTAGTGAGATTCGAACCCAGGCTCTTTGCCGTTCAAGGTATAATCCTTACCTCCAGGCTAAATTGGCTCGAAACGCATAGAAGTTTGAATTTATTATGAACCAAGATACAAGTTAGTTTGTGAAACAAGTTGTTAGCCCAAAAAAGTCGATATTCCAGTTTGATAACGCTCGCTCATCGCAAGCGTACAAAATTAACCATTTTTGAGAAAACTGAATCACTGGATTTTTTTTCCTGGAAATTAAATTTCTTTTTCGGAACTAGAAAATGACCACGTTTTTCGTGACCTTTTACAATTTTGCTGTTCGATGGCGGGGGTTGGCCTACCTTTCAACAAAGTATATGAACAGAACATAAATATCAGACCGCGAAAAAGTAAATTTGAGCCTGAACAAAATTTAAGACTTTTCCAGAAAAAAATCATCACGACCTAAATAATAGTCTGAACTACGTTCAGCGACTCAAAAAAAAATTTCGTTAATTTAAAATCCTTTTGATAAATTTAACTTCATTCATTTTTTGAGTTCAATTAAAATAAGTTGTATTAGTTTATTTGTCATTCCGATAGAGGATTAGATGTCATATTTTTGAGTTCTGGCATTTTGAGCCCGCAGATTGCAGCAGCTTGGGCTATCGATATCTCTCCGTGTGCATATTTCTCTCTCAAAATCGTCAATTTACGGTTTGCCTCTAGGTAAGCGGCGTAATCATTGGCACGTTGCAACAATTCATTTGTAGGCCTACACAACTGCCTGTCAGTAGTCTTATTATGCAAAAATTGCGAGTAGAAAAACGTATATGAATGAGAACTTCGATAGTTGTGTGGTGCTTGTTTAGCTGTTTCTGGTCCCAACGAGTTCAAAAACTTCAATTCTTTTATCAATCTTTTATACACTTGTAAACTGCTCACTTGGGAAGCTTCGAACGCCAGTGCAGACTTGGCTATTTTTTTGGCCAAAGTCATCTAGATGCCAGCATTAAAATCTGAAAAAAATACATCAATTTAATTCAGATAGCAATTGCAAGGAAACAGAACTGACAGCATGAGGCACTTAAAAAAGGAAGTTATAATCGTACTTAATTGGTCACTATTATGCTTGTTGCGACAAAAAAAACTATGAACAATTTACCACTATTTAATAAAATATAGCTTAGCTTACTGTTATTTCATTTTTCATTCAATAGCAAACAATATTTTGCCAACCTGAAGAAAACAGCCAATTTGAATGAATTCAACAGCTAACGGTTAAGCATTGATGGAACGAACAAAAATGAACATCCATAGTGACAATTTTTTATATTTAATAATTGATTCGAGTACATAAATTGGCACCAACATTTACAATCTATCAATTTATAGTCTTTCACATAGATATGGAACATCAATTAGGAAAACAACCAAAACGATTCTTTGATTTAAACTAGTGAAATTCGAAAAACATGCACCTTTTGTTGGAAGCTACACACCAATTCTCTTTCGCAAGTAAATCAATCAAATGTTTACTCCAACTTTTCATCAAAATAAATAAAGTGATTTTTACTTAAGAAAACATAAAGCCTTTGAGACAATTTATGCATTTCTCTAGAAAAACAGAGACGGATGATGACATTCACAAGAATTAATAATTCTCGGAAACAACACAAACCAAATCTGAACATAAATTAAAATAGTACGAACACCAATCACCGATGCACCAGTTCAAGCTTATACATTTTGTAACCTTAGTTTCCAAATGAGATACTAATTAAGTTAATCGTCTTTTTTTGAGACGGCATCTGTTTTATTAGCTTCTTCTTTGATAGGTTCTGGGTTGTCCACATATGCAAACATCGTTTTTAGCTCACCTCTAGCTAGCCCAACAAAGAGTGGTATGCCGAGACAAGAAGGTACCAGGTAGAGCAGCGCCGGCTGTGCATGTTTGAAATAGTGCATTACACTAATAGTTACCACTAGACCCAAAATGTAGGCCAAAAATGCACTCCAGAAATACACTTTCTTCACTCCTTTTCCCGCCGCATTGGAGGCGAAATCGTGATCGATTCTCAAGCACAGTGCGACGAAAATGCCGGGAATGACGATGTCTCCCAGGCCAAGCATGGCGAAATTGCCTGCAGCCAGACCCTGCTCTGGGAGGTCCTGGGGCATAATGAGTTTTATGGGTGCCTCGAAGCTCTTAGCTACTGTTACCATGACGTCCGTTCCAAATACCCAGAATACGTCATAGAAAAACAGACCACCCAGCAGAATGCAGCCGTTCAGCACAGAGTTCAGCTGGAGGAACTCGATTCCAGATATCGAGAATGCCAGGCCAAACAAGTTGTTTGCGATCCAGTGCTTCTTGATCAGATACCACACGCCAACACATGCCGAAATTGCTGCACTTATAATTGTCAGGTAGTCGAAACTACAGTTGACTAATAGGTCCTGATATACGGGTACTGTGGACTTTTTGGTTTGCTCAGATGCCTTAGACAGCTTTTGGTCGTCGTCTCCTGACGCTGAGGGAATGTCCTCCTTGGCACCATCCTCTTCTGCGGCATTTGACAACACAGTATTAATTGCCGACACAAACGTAGACGTGTCCTTCTAAACACCCATAAATTATTCTTCAATTACGAGATTTTGTAATTATAAGCATGGGCAGCAAAGTGGAAAAACATTTGCCACTGGTAGATATTGCTGAAATTTTAGCATCAAAATCATTACATGCAAATTAGTCGTCATCTTCATTCATTATATATATTTTTGGCAACTACGAGATATCTAATGTGACTCTTTGCTTGCAACAGCCATCCGACACTAATAAAAGGATGTAACACACTCAGAAAACCTAAATCGGAACTGCAGCACACAGGCAGCTAACAACAGCCGACTTCTAAATAAATATATTTTAAGTTATTTGAACCAAATTGATAATATTACCACTGGAAACATTTAAGATCAGGGGCGGATTTAGGGATGGGGGGAGGTGGACGCCCCCCCCCCCCAGGAATTCGACCCCCTGCCGACCCAAAGGGTCCCCCTTTGGTACTTTTAAGAAATCCAGTTTTGGCCGACCAACCCTAAAATTTTTCTAAAGGCGCCCCCTTTCGAAAATTTTTTGAAAAAATCCGCCCCCCCCTCGAGAAAATCCTAGATCCGCCCCTGTTTTAAATAGTTCATAAAACAAATGGATCTTTCAAATTATAGCCCCCATGATAGTAAAATCACAGTGTGGGTGGTCAAAAATTTTTTGTTACACTGTTACTAGACTGGGGTTTTTTTTTGGAAAGCCGCAAATAAATACATTACATACAAAGTTCACAATATATGTAAAAAAGCTTTAAACACAAAATTGGACTGAGCGCACCTCTTTTTGGGACTTTTCGCCTTCCTCGTAAGTTCCAGAGGGTTTCTCATCGGACAAGAGGAGCAGTTTGTACTGCACATTCCAAGGCAATGGTATGCACTTGCGGACCACCGGCTCAATCACTCGTGCAAGGGCAATGGTTCCCAGTATGAAGAAATACGCAGTGAACAGGATATTCACCAGATCCTTATCGATGAATCTGCAATCAAAATAATTAATGTCTCTCGCAATTAAGACGACAAATTTCAGCCTAGAAAAATTCCTGTTACATTTACTGAAAAAGAACAATTGAAGGGGGTCTTCACAACAAGGGACAGGTTAGACACGGCCATGGTCATATTTCGAAGAACTGAATAGACTGCATATTCAGTTTATAAAATTGGATTGCATAAAAATTAGAAAGATATAAAACATTCAGAAAGTAAGCAGACAGGCTTTCGAACGAGTTAGCTGAAAATTTGCCAAAAGGTAAATTCATAAAACTCCAACGTAAGATTGACGATCCAACGAACTAAAAGATTGCCATGAAACTGGTTTGATGACCCAAAACAACCGGCAAAAAGCGTTCATAACAACCGAAATCCATGAGGCCGAAAAAATCCAAATTTTTTGTTGATAGTACTTTATTCTTGTAAGCTTGTTTATATGTTTATAAACATAGCCAACAGATCATTGGAAAAGAGTCAATGAACGCGAAGAAATAGAGAAACGACTTGATTTTTGAAATAATTTCAACTTCCGAATTGCAAACAAAAAAGATATGCCCTTAACGCTCTTTGAATTTATTATAATTTGCGGAAAATTTTTGACCACGTTTTTAATTTCGCTCCATTTCAGCCTCCATAATTGGAGAGTGCATTTTCTTACCTTCTAGCACATGAAGTTGAACAGAACTCAAAAGTGCACATATACATAAAGGCATTCGTATGTGCATTTATAAGTAAGAATGCACTTTGTTGTTATTAGAGCAGTTTGAGACTTCCTGAAAAAAATCTATTATATAGAGTCTGAATTACGCTCATCGACTCTTAATAATCGAAAACTTATTAATTTACACAACGCTGCGTAGTTAAGTGGCCTTTGAGATCCAAATCAAATCAAAAAGGGACCAGCAATGCAAAATTCAAAATAAAAATCAGCAATAAAAATATATAATTTTTTTTTTGAAACTTTTCGTTGATTTTGATTTTTCATTTTTCGTCTTCTAAATGAGGGTAATCATATAGGAACAGGAAAGCTGAATAATCAAAATGTGCATGTAAAAAAAATCAAGCGGCCATTACCGAGTTGGTAAGACACGCGTCCTTTATAACCAAGGTTGTGGGTTCGAATCCCACTTCGCTCACCGTTGGAGGTATCCCAGATCATCCGCCTCCTCAAGATGGGACCGGCTCAGACAATGTGGATGACATCTATTTCCCCCAAGGAAGCAACGTTCAAATAGCAAGATAGAAGTAAGAACGATGTCAAAAAAAAGTAAAATTCAACAAGGAAATCAGCTCAAAACAATCAGTTTTCGCATTTTTTTTATTACGACTTCGATTAGTTTTTTTTCTCAGTTTTGCTTAGAACCCACAAGTTTTCAACACAGAGGTGAAGCGGAGCCTCGCAACACTTGCGACACACAAAAAAAACTAGGTATACCAAAATTTTTGTATCTCTCGATAAAAGACGTACCTCCGGATACGCCCAGCCAAATCCGGAGGTACGTTTTTGATATTTTATGAACTCGTTATATTGATTCGGGACCAAATGCATTATTTCAAAAATGGACTTTGCCCCAAACCTTACTTGTTTCTCCACTGAAATAAGTGAGAATAGAGAAAATTTTCCCAAGAACATAACATTTCTCATACAAAAAATTAAGGAGACGCAGGCCGCTTCGGCATAAAACATTCTTGCAACCGGTTCTTTCGATTGAAGTTTTCATCTCAGATTTGATAGGGTAGTTTCAGAAAATACAAAAAAAAATCTAAAAAAAACAGTCAAAAATTCAAAAACGCGACTTTCCAAAACCCATAACTTTTTTCTTCAAAACTAGGTTCCAAAGCAGAGAATGTTTTGGGAAACTTCTCTTTTTAACAGAGAAATTCCTGAAAACCGGGTTTCTCGATTAACACTTCACCTGAAAATTGGATTGGTAGTTTTCGAGTAAGTCAAACAGTTTCCAGAAGACGGTAAGTTTCAATTTTTTTTTGAAGGCAGTAACATTTTTTAAAACATATTTGGAGGTAGCCACTTATAAACTCCAACGTAGACTTTTAACAACCTGTTGTTTCGATTAAACCACCTATGATATCAGATTTATCAGGATGCTTATCAAAAATAAGAAAAACGGTCAACAAATTAAAATTTTGACAGTTCCGCTAATCATGGCTTTTTGTATAAAAAATGAAAGTAGTCGCTTTTTTTCACGAAACTCAGTTTTGAACGGGTAGTTCTCGAGAGAAGAAAAAATTTCAAAAAATACTCAATAAATAAAAATTTTCCGAGGGCCATAACTTTTAGTGGTACAAAATTTAGGCATAGCCGCTGATGCAAGCAAGCTTCACAAAACCCGTTCTTTGGATTGAATTCAAAATTTCAGATATGGGAGAGTATTCGATAAGAAAATTCAAAAAATTTTAAAAACACTTAAAAATGGGCGTAGCCATTTTTGCAGGAAAATTATTCAAAGCCCGTTCTATTCATGAGAAACCAAAAAAGTCACAAGTTTGGGTCGAATATTCTCCCCCAGACTTTTTCGAAGGCTGTAAACAAAGGGGTAAAGCAAAAATGAACTAATGAAGTATGCAGGCACACAGGTGAATAGGCGGTCTTTCCATTAATACCCATTTTTTGATAAACGATTTTAGTTTTTGAGAAAAACTGAAGATTTTGCAAAAAGTGAAAAAAATATCAATGCGTCTCAACAAAAAACCAGTTGCTTTCGAGCAGACACCAGTTGAGCCGGAAAACTTTTATTTTTAAAGTACCCTTAAAACTACACTAGCAAATATCATGAAAGGAATATATTTTTTAAAATGCTACATTTAGCGGGCCCAATCAAAGGAATGAATTTAGCGTCTGTGCTAGTGATACCAAATTTGCCTGAACTCAAGTGAAAACGCATTGATCTTCCGCTTACGCGTAATATAAAAACGCAACATACCATGGGCAAATAACCCAAATTAACAATTGTCAAACCCACGTAAGTTCACAAAAACTTATCACAGTTGAGCTCCGAAGTCAAATATCTTTCAAAAGGTAAGAAAAACATCCGTCAAAATTGCTTCAATGAGAAGTCAAAAATCAAGAATAAAAAGACCGAGCGTTTTTATCGAAAGACTGAACAAAAATACACAGTTTCATTCATTATTTCCTTGAGACTACAAGCAAAATGAAAAAGAAGAAAAAATTACCTTGAAAAACCCGGCAAAAATTTGGACATAATTTTTTTTCATAATTTGAAGTTTGAATTCCTGACCACTGGAGCATCAAGCAGTACACAATTCCTAGTACACCAAGTGCAAATTATTGATGATTTATAAACAACACTCAATATCTTATTATTTCTGTTAGAGAAGTTGTTGTATGAAAAATCTAGTTAATTTTAACACACTAAAGAAATCAAAGCTACATAAACGCATCAACAGAATAATTGAACACAAAGAAAATTTAACGCAGAGGCGAAGTTGCATTTCGCATACACAATCAAAAATGACGGATAACGCTACTGGGAAAAACTGATTGAGTAAAACTTTCAGTCTACAAATTTTCTAGAGTGACGCAAGCTAATTAAGACGAATTAGCAGTACCAGTCAATATGACAAAAGAAATTTACCAACTAACATGCCTCAATTTATAGAGCGGACGCATTTAAACTAGTAAACGAAAATGTTCATCAAAAACATCAGACCCTGCCAAGTTCGAACCCTCTTATTTTGCTGCTTGTCTTCTTCCCTACCTCTACGCTACAGATCCATGATGCCTTGAAGCTAAAGTGCTATTTGTAATATAATAGTCTGTGTTAGTATCCTTAGCATTGCATGTAATTAATAGGTGGTTATTGATCAAAATGAACACCTTTTGTTGCAACAATATTTGCGACCTAGGTTGAAAAAAAGAGAGTTCATACTATCACACAAGCTTTGCTTGTGTAAAAAAAACAGTTGAAAACTTTGAGAGCACTTATCAAATTAAATCGAAATCAGGGATTGCAAATACGGTTATGGCCATAATATGGACTGAAGATAGCGCCAATCTATATTGTCCATTTTTCTAAATCTTTTTCTCTGTAATTGCCATTATTGAAAACTGAAAGCCGAAATAATTACACGGAGGCGAAGCGAAGTAATACAACAGGAAAATAGCATGAAAAACGTTTGCAGCGCTAATTAGTCCCGTAATTTTTGAGCAAGCACCAGTTGAACTGAAAAAAAAAAAACAAAAAGAAACTAAGCTATGAAACAATTTATAATTCTATATCCCTAACAAAACACTCATAGGAAAGAAAAAAAAAACTACTCCGATTAATTGTTAGCCGAAAACTTCTACATTGAATGAAAAACAGAATATACAAACAATTAAAAAGAAGAATCTACTAAGCCGGAGTTGGTAACTTCACGCCAAAAATTCAAAACAGAGAGGCGACGCAGAGCTTCGCACAACTTGCCATAAAGCACAAGCATGAACGACAAACAAGGAGACAAAAATTAAGACAAAAGCCGCTAAATCGGAAATAGGTTTTGAAAACGGTGACAAAAGCTAAATCTCCCAAAACTTTCATATCTTTGTCTCAATTAGCCTTTAACGGAGTTCATTTTATGAAAAACATGCCAAATAAAGCAGTTGAAATGTAAAATGTAAATTAGAATCGAAACAAAACTTACGCAGCACTAGCAAAGCCAACAATTTTTAGCAGACACCTGTCAAGCCAAAAAAAAGTTTCCATAAAATATCACATTACCCGTTCAAAAGACATACATAAACAGACTAAGCAAATTCGGTATGAACCAAAATAAAACTTTCAATAAGTGAAAAAAAAACTAAAATTATGCCAAACCGGGTATTGTAAATATAAAACCAACACAAAACATAGCCAACAGACAAATGGAAAAGAATCAATGAACGCAGAAAAAAAAAAGACTTAATTTTTCAAACATAACTTAAGAGCTCTTTCAGTGTCAATAAAGATTTATTATTGCAACTTTCTTGATAAATTAACTCAATTTGAGAAAACTAGAGTTAGTTTTCATTCCGCTGGGATATCTAAAAATCAAAATCAGCTTCTGCAATTAAATTGGAAGTCGATCTTTCCACTTTTGCTGTTCATGTGGAATTTGCCTTCCTTTTTACAAAGGAACAGAACTAGTCACAAGAAATCGAAATTCCCAACAATTTTCGCCCAAAAAAAGTCATCACTGTTAACATAAGCGTCTTCACTATGTTCATATATAAATATGAATCGTATATAAAAATCGTACAAATATTGAATAGAAGGGGTAGCTGTAATGACATGCTCAATATGTGTCTGTTGCTTGACGAAGATTTGAGAAAAAAAAATCAGTGATTCTGTCGAACAAGTTGTTTATACGATTCTATTATAATAGTAATAATTCTGTGTACACGAATCGTGAAAAAAATGTCAATTAAAATGGGCCCTTCCTTCATGCGACGGTACGTGCACAGGTTGGATAGGGCCGTACCAACGCTACATAAATACAACGGCAAAACTTAATGAATAAATCAGGTCGATTTTAATGCATCCAGAGAATTGTCAATTAAAATCTACCCTCCTCGATTATAGCACAGATAGAATTGTCTATGATGGATGTATTTTTAGATTTTTTGCACTCCCTAAGGCAGAGTATTGCACTACTCAGAAGTGCAAAACTTATTTTTGTTCTTATAAAAATTATTGTGTCCGAGTATGATTCGTTCCGTTTTTCGCTTAGTTTCTCTGCTAATTTATGGACAGTTTTTGTAGAGCCTGGTGCTGCTCCTCCGGTACACTCCAGTATTTTAAAATTTTTACACACTCATGATATTTTTAAGCGTCAGATATAGTTTTAGGGCAGGATTTAGCATGGGGGTTGAAAATTTTTACATCGAAAAAGGTTCGGCTGAATCAGCCTACCCAGAGTCTATTTTCCTTGATGTCAAGTCGAGTGTCATCTTCAGTAGTGGTTGTTTTGTTGTGAAAGCTTTCGCCTTCCAACGATTGAAGTTTCGGCTCTATTTCAACATCATGGCATACCTAGTCCAGGAGTGTCGCAAAGTTATCGCGAATTTCATTATGTCTTAGCTGAGTGTATCCACCTTTGGGACAGTGTAGAGAGTGGGTCAGTGTGAATGGCTGTCCACGTGGGCATGTATGTGAAAAATTTGGTGGTTCCCATCCATATCTCAGATGTAATCCATCTTTAAACTCTGATTTGTTGAGGGAAAAATTGTACTTTTAAGGGTAGCACGCTTAGCCAATTCGATGCTCCTTTCTGTGACGCTTGATTTATTGTCAGTTTTTTTTCTGATGATCACAAAAAATAAAACTAAAAATCCCCAAAACTTGTAGCACAATTACCGCTACCAATGGGTCTTTACAATGGCATTCAGAAAAATAAAAAAAACTGAATCTTGAAAAAAGAGTCCGTGCTACGTGAACTAAGCCGAAAACATGAAAAGACGGACGTAAATCAAGTTTTAAAAAAAAACAGGTTCCGGTCGGACTTGAAAAACAAGTCTTTGTCGCCTTAAGCACGTGTATTACGTCAAATGGTCAGATGGCTGATTGAATTTATTATGAAACAGGTTGAAACACGGGTAGCATTTTCTTGAACGTTTTTTTTTGGAGAAAACAATCTAGTACTCGGTTGCAACACCTTTGCTTATTGAAAATCAATGTGTTGCTCGGGCGAAACAAAACAACAGCAATTAAAAAACACCACTTTTACGGTTATCGCAAAATATGGAAAATTTGTTTTCGTCAATACCTGGCAAAATTTCAAAATATAATAAATAATAATAATAAATTTGTTTCAATAGTGCAATAATCCAATAATATAGAGAACTTATAATAATAATAATAAGAACTTTCTGAGAGCTTTCTATTAAGTACTGTCTTATATGGACCTGATTGTTTAGTCTAAGTAACATTTATATTGAAAAAATTTTAATAGATTTACAGAAAAAAATTCGAAATCTTACAGTTCCTTTATTAATATAAATCCATATAAAGATGGCTATAATCATTAATAAATTATATGAACAACTTAGTTCCAATTAGCTTTAAGGTTTCAAAAAAGCCAGTGAATACGGCACTTTCTTGGCAACTGATTTGATAAAAACTCACCTGAACACGAGATAAATTCCAAAAAGTACGAAACTTCCATAAACTGGAAACATCATTGCATCTTTGTTAGTCATAATTTCCACATCTTCTGACTTGCCGGATAGTTTCTGTTTTTTAAGATGGCCTACACTTTTGAACGATCCAACAACAATCGGAAACAGAGCCATGAAGAGCAGACTTCCGTAAGCAACTGACATGCCTTCGGTGCTGGCTTGAAATCTTGTCGAATTTCCGGTCGCATTGACAACCTCGGCAGTTACGTTTTGGAGAACTTCCGATTGATTCATATTCGATCTCAGAAAAAATACAGCCATTTAACTTTAAATGCGCTATTGGACAAAGCTACTGAGAAATTAACAGGGAGATTGCAAACTAAAAGATGAGACTTCATTTTCAGTAAAATACGAAATCGCCGAATGTAGGATCAAAACGAATACATTTTATATAACTTTCGCAAATATACTGCATCAACTGGTATATAATCAATAAGGTAACCTATTGCCTAGAAAAAGTGTCTGAGTTAGCACTAAGAATACTCCCAAGTATAAAAATTTCACAATGAACAAACAGCACGTTCGGTATATAGAGAGTTGCAAAAAGTTCGGACAGAAAGAATTAATTAAAAAGAGCAAGTTTCTGGACATCAACGGAAATTAAAACTGAAACATAACATCAAAATTTCATGAAGCAGAGTTACGGTATCTACTTAACAATCCCTCTTTCAAGAAAGGGGAGCAGATCGTTAATAAGATTACTTGCAGCGAAACTTTGGACCAACCAGAATGCAGCAAAATTCGAATTTACATACAATGCTCAATTGCGAATTTACTGTCTTTATTTACAGGGGTGGAGATTCTTTAGTAGATATACAATAGTGGGGGATTGTTGAGTAGATCCGACATTCGCTCAAAACCTATAACCACGGCGGGCAATTGCATCCGAACGTCGAAATGTCTTAGAGTAAAATCTGGATGTTCGCAGTATTTAAAAATTAGGCTAGCATAATCATCGGATAATCGACGATCTGGCATTTTGCATTTGAATCGAAATAATATTCAAGGCTGTTCGGCTTGATATTGCAAGCAAAGAAGCGTCGAAAAGCACTGATCGAAAAGCAATCCCCTGCCTTAGGGGATGCAAAAAGCTTAAAAAAACATCTAACATAGACAACTCTATCTGTGCTATAATCGAGGAAGGTAGATTTTAATTGACAATTCTCTGGATGCATTAAAATCGACTTGATTTATTCATAAAATTTTGCCGATGTATTTATATAGCGTTGGTACGGCTCTATCCAACCTGTACCTCTATCCAAAAAAATCTAAAAAAAACAGTCAAAAATTCAAAAACGCGACTTTCCAAAACCCATAACTTTTTTCTTCAAAACTAGGTTCCAAAGCAGAGAATGTTTTGGGAAACTTCTCTTTTTAACAGAGAAATTCCTGAAAACCGGGTTTCTCGATTAACACTTCACCTGAAAATTGGATTGGTAGTTTTCGAGTAAGTCAAACAGTTTCCAGAAGACGGTAAGTTTCAATTTTTTTTTGAAGGCAGTAACATTTTTTAAAACATATTTGGAGGTAGCCACTTATAAACTCCAACGTAGACTTTTAACAACCTGTTGTTTCGATTAAACCACCTATGATATCAGATTTATCAGGATGCTTATCAAAAATAAGAAAAACGGTCAACAAATTAAAATTTTGACAGTTCCGTTAATCATGGCTTTTTGTATAAAAAATGAAAGTAGTCGCTTTTTTTAAAGAAACTCAGTTTTGAACGGGTAGTTCTCGAGAGAAGAAAAAATTTCAAAAAATACTCAATAAATAAAAATTTTCCGAGGGCCATAACTTTTAGTGGTACAAAATTTAGGCATAGCCGCTGATGCAAGCAAGCTTCACAAAACCCGTTCTTTGGATTGAATTCAAAATTTCAGATATGGGAGAGTATTCGATAAGAAAATTCAAAAAATTTTAAAAACACTTAAAAATGGGCGTAGCCATTTTTGCAGGAAAATTATTCAAAGCCCGTTCTATTCATGAGAAACCAAAAAAGTCACAAGTTTGGGTCGAATATTCTCCCCCAGACTTTTTCGAAGGCTGTAAACAAAGGGGTAAAGCAAAAATGAACTAATGAAGTATGCAGGCACACAGGTGAATAGGCGGTCTTTCCATTAATACCCATTTTTTGATAAACGATTTTAGTTTTTGAGAAAAACTGAAGATTTTGCAAAAAGTGAAAAAAATATCAATGCGTCTCAACAAAAAACCAGTTGCTTTCGAGCAGACACCAGTTGAGCCGGAAAACTTTTATTTTTAAAGTACCCTTAAAACTACACTAGCAAATATCATGGAAGGAATATATTTTTTAAAATGCTACATTTAGCGGGCCCAATCAAAGGAATGAATTTAGCGTCTGTGCTAGTGATACCAAATTTGCCTGAACTCAAGTGAAAACGCATTAATCTTCCGCTTACGCGTAATATAAAAACGCAACATACCATGGGCAAATAACCCAAATTAGCAATTGTCAAACCCACGTAAGTTCACAAAAACTTATCACAGTTGAGCTCCGAAGTCAAATATCTTTCAAAAGGTAAGAAAAACATCCGTCAAAATTGCTTCAATGAGAAGTCAAAAATCAAGAATAAAAAGACCGAGCGTTTTTATCGAAAGACTGAACAAAAATACACAGTTTCATTCATTATTTCCTTGAGACTACAAGCAAAATGAAAAAGAAGAAAAAATTACCTTGAAAAACCCGGCAAAAATTTGGACATAATTTTCTTTCATAATTTGAAGTTTGAATTCCTGACCACTGGAGCATCAAGCAGTACACAATTCCTAGTACACCAAGAGCAAATTATTGATGATTTATAAACAACACTCAATATCTTATTATTTCTGTTAGAGAAGTTGTTGTATGAAAAATCTAGTTAATTTTAACACACTAAAGAAATCAAAGCTACATAAACGCATCAACAGAATAATTGAACACAAAGAAAATTTAACGCAGAGGCGAAGTTGCATTTCGCATACACAATCAAAAATGACGGATAACGCTACTGGGAAAAACTGATTGAGTAAAACTTTCAGTCTACAAATTTTCTAGAGTGACGCAAGCTAATTAAGACGAATTAGCAGTACCAGTCAATATGACAAAAGAAATTTACCAACTAACATGCCTCAATTTATAGAGCGGACGCATTTAAATTAGTAAACGAAAATGTTCATCAAAAACATCAGACCCTGCCAAGTTCGAACCCTCTTATTTTGCTGCTTGTCTTCTTCCCTACCTCTACGCTACAGATCCATGATGCCTTGAAGCTAAAGTGCTATTTGTAATATAATAGTCTGTGTTAGTATCCTTAGCATTGCATGTAATTAATAGGTGGTTATTGATCAAAATGAACACCTTTTGTTGCAACAATATTTGCGACCTAGGTTGAAAAAAAGAGAGTTCATACTATCACACAAGCTTTGCTTGTGTAAAAAAAAAACAGTTGAAAACTTTGAGAGCACTTATCAAATTAAATCGAAATCAGGGATTGCAAATACGGTTATGGCCATAATATGGACTGAAGATAGCGCCAATCTATATTGTCCATTTTTCTAAATCTTTTTCTCTGTAATTGCCATTATTGAAAACTGAAAGCCGAAATAATTACACGGAGGCGAAGCGAAGTAATACAACAGGAAAATAGCATGAAAAACGTTTGCAGCGCTAATTAGTCCCGTTATTTTTGAGCAAGCACCAGTTGAACTGAAAAAAAAAACAAAAAGAAACTAAGCTATGAAACAATTTATAATTCTATATCCCTAACAAAACACTCATAGGAAAGAAAAAAAAAACTACTCCGATTAATTGTTAGCCGAAAACTTCTACATTGAATGAAAAACAGAATATACAAACAATTAAAAAGAAGAATCTACTAAGCCGGAGTTGGTAACTTCACGCCAAAAATTCAAAACAGAGAGGCGACGCAGAGCTTCGCACAACTTGCCATAAAGCACAAGCATGAACGACAAACAAGGAGACAAAAATTAAGACAAAAGCCGCTAAATCGGAAAAAGGTTTTGAAAACGGTGACAAAAGCTAAATCTCCCAAAACTTTCATATCTTTGTCTCAATTAGCCTTTAACGGAGTTCATTTTATGAAAAACATGCCAAATAAAGCAGTTGAAATGTAAAATGTAAATTAGAATCGAAACAAAACTTACGCAGCACTAGCAAAGCCAACAATTTTTAGCAGACACCTGTCAAGCCAAAAAAAAGTTTCCATAAAATATCACATTACCCGTTCAAAAGACATACATAAACAGACTAAGCAAATTCGGTATGAACCAAAATAAAACTTTCAATAAGTGAAAAAAAAACTAAAATTATGCCAAACCGGGTATTGTAAATATAAAAGCAACACAAAACATAGCCAACAGACAAATGGAAAAGAATCAATGAACGCAGAAAAAAAAAAAGACTTAATTTTTCAAACATAACTTAAGAGCTCTTTCAGTGTCAATAAAGATTTATTATTGCAACTTTCTTGATAAATTAACTCAATTTGAGAAAACTAGAGTTAGTTTTCATTCCGCTGGGATATCTAAAAATCAAAATCAGCTTCTGCAATTAAATTGGAAGTCGATCTTTCCACTTTTGCTGTTCATGTGGAATTTGCCTTCCTTTTTACAAAGGAACAGAACTAGTCACAAGAAATCGAAATTCCCAACAATTTTCGCCCAAAAAAAGTCATCACTGTTAACATAAGCGTCTTCACTATGTTCATATATAAATATGAATCGTATATAAAAATCGTACAAATATTGAATAGAAGGGGTAGCTGTAATGACATGCTCAATATGTGTCTGTTGCTTGACGAAGATTTGAGAAAAAAAATTCAGTGATTCTGTCGAACAAGTTGTTTATACGATTCTATTATAATAGTAATAATTCTGTGTACACGAATCGTGAAAAAAATGTCAATTAAAATGGGCCCTTCCTTCATGCGACGGTACGTGCACAGGTTGGATAGGGCCGTACCAACGCTACATAAAAACAACGGCAAAACTTAATGAATAAATCAGGTCGATTTTAATGCATCCAGAGAATTGTCAATTAAAATCTACCCTCCTCGATTATAGCACAGATAGAATTGTCTATGATGGATGTATTTTTAGGTTTTTTGCACTCCCTAAGGCAGAGTATTGCACTACTCAGAAGTGCAAAACTTATTTTTGTTCTTATAAAAATTATTGTGTCCGAGTATGATTCGTTCCGTTTTTCGCTTAGTTTCTCTGCTAATTTATGGACAGTTTTTGTAGAGCCTGGTGCTGCTCCTCCGGTACACTCCAGTATTTTAAAATTTTTACACACTCATGATATTTTTAAGCGTCAGATATAGTTTTAGGGCAGGATTTAGCATGGGGGTTGAAAATTTTTACATCGAAAAAGGTTCGGCTGAATCAGCCTACCCAGAGTCTATTTTCCTTGATGTCAAGTCGAGTGTCATCTTCAGTAGTGGTTGTTTTGTTGTGAAAGCTTTCGCCTTCCAACGATTGAAGTTTCGGCTCTATTTCAACATCATGGCATACCTAGTCCAGGAGTGTCGCAAAGTTATCGCGAATTTCATTATGTCTTAGCTGAGTGTATCCACCTTTGGGACAGTGTAGAGAGTGGGTCAGTGTGAATGGCTGTCCACGTGGGCATGTATGTGAAAAATTTGGTGG